AGGGTAAGGGTCGCAGTGTGGCGAGGGTAAGGGTCGCAGTGTGGCGAGGGTAAGGGTCGCAGTGTGGCGAGGGTAAGGGTCGCAGTGTGGCGAGGGTAAGGGTCGCAGTGTGGCGAGGGTAAGGGTCGCAGTGTGGCGAGGGTAAGGGTCGCAGTGTGGCGAGGGTAAGGGTCGCAGTGTGGCGAGGGTAAGGGTCGCAGTGTGGCGAGGGTAAGGGTCGCAGTGTGGCGAGGGTAAGGATCGCAGTGTTGCGTCGCAGTGTTATGACATTTACCCGAAAAAGCATTCTTACCACTGCAGTGGTAAGAATGGAAAATGCAAGTCATGTAAGATTGACTTTTTTATTTTGTAATATTATGAGTTTATTTTCATAATTAAAACAAAAAAATACTCAGTAGTAGCTCGGTGGATCTTTAAGTTAATCTTGGACAGTAAATGTAAAACTGTTTTTGTTTGTAGGCGCAGCACCCAACGCTCTCCGTCAACCATATCTGTGGTTAACCATCATCCTGACAGTGGCCATCAGTCTGCTGCCCGTCGTCTGCATCCAGTTCCTCTATAAAACCATCTGGCCGTCTGTTGGAGACAAGGTGAGACCAACCAGGACCTTCAGAGGACTGAAGAACAAAACTGGGTCCAGATTATCTGAGATCCTGTGGGACCATCAGGACTGGAACCAGTTTTAAGCTTGTTTAATTGACCTGATGAAGATCAGGTGATATTTTCTTTTCTCCAAGCCTAAAACTTGACACAATTTCCCATCATGCTTCAGGTGCAGCGGAACAGGAAGAGGTACGAGATGGAGCTGGAGCAGGAGGAGAGGAAGAAGAAGCCACCGCCCTTCCAGCGCGGCCGAGGGTCCCGACGCTCCGCCTACGCCTTCTCTCACACCCCCGGGTACGCCAACCTGATCTCCACGGGGCGGAGCATCCGGCGGCGCCCTCAGGACCGGCCTCGAGCCGTACCCCAGGAAACCATCAGGGAGCGCCCGCAGAGAGAAGCCGAAAACATCTGAGACCCGGCCGGGCGCTAACGCAGCGAAGCCAAAGCATTTTGGAACAATTTTATTTCTGCGAGCCGAAGAAAAAAAAAAKCCCTCAAACATTCGGCTTGTTTTAGCTTTTTGAACACTGAAGTGCCTCCGAGGTGACGGGCAAAGCGCCGCACCATTTGCTCCGGTTTGACCTCTGTTTGTTTACAAACAAACTGAAGCTCACCGAAGACGCCCTCTGGTGTGGGGTTAAAGGTCACGCAGTGTGCGACCAACTATTCTTTAACTCAGGATTTGTTCTTTTTAAATAAGATTGTTTTAAACACGTTCATCCTTCACCACTCATACAGCTCATGTTACAGTTTTAACTTTTCTTTTTCTTTGCTCAGCACTTTGTCTAAACTTTAAAACAACTCCGGTTAAAAATCTTATTTTAACTTTTTTCTGTCCATTGAACCCAAACGTTTTCCTGTAAAATGAGGCTAAAGTTGTTTATTTTTGTTTCATTTGGAGTAGTGGCGGGACGGTAACGAGTCAGGCTATGAAATGTTTTAGTTACAAAGTGTTTATTATAATAATAAAAAACAAGATAATGGTGTGAAAGTGATTCGTATGGAAGCAAATCAGTCTCAGGATTTTGAGTTTTAGAACATTACAATGTAAAACAAATGTGTGCAGTGAATTTATAGGTTTAATTTCAACTCGTTTTTAATGTTGGAAAAAAAACTTTGGTCAAAATTTAAATCTAACTTTCTAGACAATAAGAAATTGGAGCAAATTTGTGTACTTTTGTTACGCAAAAACATTTTGACACTAGAAAAAAAACATTACATACATAATTATTAAAAATGGAGTTAAATTCAAAAACTTCATATATTCACTGCATAACATTTTGATTTAGTTTTAAAATAAAAAAAATCGGAGACTGATTTTCTTAAGATTTGAGTTGCGACATGTTTCCAAACAAATTCAAACCAACTTTGGTCTTTTAAAAACTTTGTAAGATTCTTCACACAAACTTTAGGAGCTTTTTATTTAAAACTTACAGAGTTTAAGTGTTTCTAACTTAAAATGGTGACGTTTTGTTTTAGCTCCTTGGTGCATGACTTTCATCTGTTTTCATTGAACGTTGCTGTAATTGTTTTTCTTATATCTTAAAAGAAAGGATTTGCTGTTTGTTTACAACTTTAAGATTTCTTTTTGTCTTTTTTTTTTTAGATTTTCATCAGATTTTTGGGCATTTGGGACCCTGCGTTGAGCCAAAACTCCCGTTGTGACTGTTAGAGATAATTTTAGACGTTTTTCTTGAAGAACAAACGGGCAGGTTTGTTCTAAATGTTGATATTTTATTGTTAATAAAGGCCAAGGGCACATTCAGCAGTCTGACCTGTTTGATGTCGAACTGAATTCACCAGCTGCAGGACTGATGAGGTTTCTCTGCTCCAGCTCACCTGAGTGATTAACCGTCCTCTGCAGAAGTTGAAGAGGTGAGTTGGAGCAGAGGAACGTGTAAAACCTGCAGGAAATTTGTCAGTTTTTCCTCTGACTTCCTGTTTTGTTTAACCGTTCCTGTTTTCTGCCTCTTGGTGTCGCTGCACGACTGCATTTGTTTCTCACCGATCTCCTGCCTTTAAATCCTGCATCGTGTAACGGAGCCGTTTAAGGCTTGGTCAGCAAAGGAAGGAGTGATTTCTGTGCACAAAGCCATGCAGGCTCATTGAAACATACCTGACTTGTGCTCTTAATTAGTATTAAAGTGGCCTAATTTTAGAAAAGCATTTTGTTTTTCATATGACATCGAGCAGAAATATTTATTTTAGCATCATTTCTTTGCTTTAAAGCTAATCTGAGTCAGATGATCAGAGGTTTGATCTGTTTGTGTCGAATATTTAATATAACTGCTGCCGACAGAAACCAGCTCATTGGCTAAAGAAAATATCAGGAGCAGTAAATTAATGCTTTAGTGTTTAAATAATAAASATTTATAAACCTTTAAAAACAAAGTGTTTGCCCGTCAGTGATAAAATCWACATATTGTGGAAAAAAATTAAAAGATGAATACACAATAAGTACAAACAATATTTCAAAAATACATATTTAAATGTAGAAATTTTTTTGTAAAGGTTTTATAAAATCTACAAAATCTGATACTTTAAAAGCTGTAGTTAAATTAAGGCTTTATGGAGTAATTATTGAGACAATAAACAGAAACACTCAGTGAATTAATAATTTCTGTTTTACAGATTATGAACATATTTAAACGTTGGAAGAAAAAAACAGAATATCTGAACAAAACCGATTATTTTAATTAAAATCCAGACATCCACCGGTTTGGTTTTTAACAGTTTGAATATTCATGTASGATATTTGATTCATACACTTCCTAAAACTGACTTCATTGTAAAGTTATTTGGGGAAAATACATCTTAATTATTACAGGCCTTAAATATGATTATTGTTGATTATTGTTGTAGGTTTACAACACAAACTTAAGGAGTCAGTAATAACAGAAACAAATTAACCGGATCTGATTGTATTTATGTTCATGAGAGTGCTCCGGTATTTTAATGTATTAATAAAGTAATGATGGAATAAAAGATAATTTAACACTTGGCTGCACAGTGGAGCTGCGGGTCAGTGGTCACCTCACACAATGAGGGTCTCAGGTTTGATTCTCTTCCTACTTATTTGGGCTCCCATCTCCACCGGATGCTCCAGTACGTTTCTTTTACAGTTCAACTACTTTCATATTCTGTAAATCAGAGTTAAACTAACAGAACTGTTGGGTCATTGTTTCATCTGAAATCTGTCTCGTAAGTTTTGGGTCAAAACCTTTGGAATATAAAATAAGTTACTTGGAAAAATTTTTTTTCTCTTTTTTTTGTCACTTCAGTAGAAAACTAAAACAAAACTAAATGTTAGTTTACTTGGAAAAAAATTACGATAGGGTCTGGAGAAAGCTCGTCGTTTTACTTATTCATGTTGCTTCTTCAACAGTTCAGAAACACGGTGATTGTAAAATAAAAAGCTGAGTATCCAGAGAAAGACTGTCATTTTTCTTTTTATCAACGTGTTCGACACGGTTAATTGGAGATTCTAAATCAGGGCTATTCAAATGGAGGCCCGCGGGCCACGTCAGGCCCACTGGTGACTGAAATCTGGCCCACCAATTGGTTCATTAAATTCATTGGTTCTTACCCCAAACCCTCGGTTCTCTGCTTTAATTACTACAAGTTCTTTAAGTTAAACATGGACGTGTGTGGTACACAGAAACATCCGAATCTTGGCCAAAAGCTGGTAAAAACTAGGGCTGTGTATTGGCAAGAATTTGGCGAAACGATACATATAACAGAGGGGTCACGATGCGATACATCCCGATATATTGCGATACTGTAAACAAGGTGATATATTGTGATATATTGAGATTTTTTTGTCCAAAATTTCTGTTTAAAATACCTCTTACTGGAAAAAAAACAGAAAAGCTAATGTTTACTCACAATGCTAATGCTCTCTTACTCTCTGGCGCTCAAGAGGTAGAGGAGCCAAATGTCTGGCTCACT